TCTTAAGGGGTTAAAGGAGCACTATAGGGTCAGGAACACAAACATGTATTCCTGACCCTATAGGGTTAAAACACCCATCTAGCCACCCTGAGCCCCTCATGCCTCCCTAAATATAGAAATCTTACTTTTATTCAAGTCTGGAGCTGCTTGCTTTGTCACGGTTTCCTTTAGACCTACCCACACTGTCTGCTGACATCATCAGAAGTGGTAGCCCAATCACAATGCTTCCCCATAGGATTGGCTCAGACTGTCAAGATCAGGCAGATCAGGGGCAGAGCACAGCCCTGGCTAATCATCATTTCCTCATAGAGATGAATTGGATCAATGAATATCTATGAGGAAGGTTCAGTGTCTGCATGCAGAGGGAGGAGACACTGAATGTTTGGATGCATTTTAGGCAGCCATGACCCAGGAAGGATCTCTAACAGCTATCTGAGGAGTGGCCAGTGAAGTTATCACTAGGCTGTAATGTAAACACTGCATTTTTTTCTGAAAAGACAAAAGACAAGGTAATGATTCTACTGACCAGAACAAATTCAATAAGCTGTAGTTGTTCTGGTGACTATAGTGTCCCTTTAACTCCCTTCTACAAGGCCGACCCCTTCCCCACTGATGGGCTCAGCCAACGTATGCCTCATTTCCAAACCAAGGAAAGATCACCTGGACCCAGGACACTATCGACTGGTTTTCCTACTTATATTAAACTCTTCACAAAGACATTGGAAAACAGATCCATTTGTGAGTTTTTTATGCTGTATTAGTTCGGTAGAGAAAACTACCGAACACCGACCACCCCCGGGCTCATTATCTACAAAGGAAACTGCCGATTGAGCGCTCTCTTTGGGTGGCTGCAGTTCGTATAGCCGAACACCATGTGGAAGAGAAAACTGCGGACATCTTGTTTGCACGAAAGGAGGCAACGGGACTTGGTCGAGTGGTATAAATATTACAGGTGGCGCTAAAGGAAAAAGACGTGCTACTATATTACCAAAGTATATTGTCACCACATATACTTAAAGCGGCACTGTCATGCCGAACTTACCTTTCCTCAATCTCTTCCTCTTCTCCCCCTCTCTCAGGATCTGTTCTTCTTTTCTTCCTGTCTTCTTTAGTTTTCTTTAAAATCATAAGACAAAGTAGGGACTCTTTGCCTTATGGAGGATTCCTCCGCTTGACCAGCTCTGACCAGCGGAGGAGCAAAGTGTGCTTCATTTCCGCTGGTCAGAGCAATTTTCCCATGATCCCAAGCTTTCTTCAGTGTTCCCACAATGCTTCCTGTCATTTTACATGAAACTGCTGAATTGCGTTCTAACTGAATGACAACAGTATGTTCGTTTCTTTTAGAACGCAATTCGGCACTTTATTCGGATCGGAATTTCATTCTAATGAATGAAACTCTGATCCTATTCATTGCTGTGGCTGCATTTTGCAGCCGCTTAGTAGATAACTCCCTAATTCCCACGGTATCAGGGAGCTATCTACTAAAAGGCTGAAAGACCTAAATTGGTCTAACAGCCAACTTTACTAATACTAAGTAAAGATTACTTAGTATTAGTAAATAATATGCCCCTACTCGCTATATCGCGAGTAGGGGCATGTGTAGTAAGCAGTGAGCAGCTTATAGCTGCTCACTGTAAAAAAAAGAATAAATAAAAAAAATAATAACCCCCCCCCCCATGCCCGTGGGGGCCCTAAATAAAGATGGGGGGGAACCTACTGCCCCTGGCCCCCACCCCTGCGCGGTGGGTGGGTGGGGGCCCTAATAAAACAATAAGGGGGGGGACCTACTGTCCTCCCCCCCCGGCCCCCACCCCTGCTCACTGTTTAGTAGACATGCCCCTACTTGCGGTATAGTGAGTAGGGGCATTTGGGAGATTTAAATCTCTCTTGTGCTATTATGGGGGTCATATTGAACCCCATAGAGTGAGAGGGGGTACTGGGGGGCTTATGAAGTGGTGGGGAGCACTGCTCCCTGCCACTTCTATAGTTACATATTACAAGGAGGGAGCTGCACGCCGGTAGCTCCCTCCTTGTAATAAACTGCACGAACAAACATACACTGATACTCAGATACACTGATACATTGTGTTTGTTTGTTCGGCTAATCTTTCTATTCACTCATTCGTCTGTCTGATGAGTGAATGAATAGATGAAATTCCCGTTCGCATGTCCAGGTGTTTCACTGGGCATGTGCGGGAATCTCAGTGTCTGCCTAGTGTGGGCTGATGACGTGTCCCACAGGGACTTCACCTACCCACACAAAGATGGCGGCGCCCTGAATCAAGATCGGGGCAGAAAATAAGGATTAAAAAATAGGTAATGTGGGGGGCTTAGGGGCATTTGGGGGTGACTAGTGGGTCAATTGGATGTAGTGGAGGCGGGAGGGGGGTTAAAAAAAAAAACGGGTTTCGGCATGACAGTGCCGCTTTAAAAGACAAGGCACAGTAAAAAGATAAAAGGTAAAAGTGCACTCATAAACACCAGGACAAATTGTTACCTGTAATATATACAGTCGTGGTAACCAAAAGTGAATAATCCTGGTATATACTTGACCAGATTGTGTATATACTGATACGTATTTGCCTATAAATATATAACAAGACAAAAAACCATAGTGAATGTAGAAGAGCTGAAACCACTCACAATTTTTTGAGCCGATTAAAAGTTGGCTCAGAACTTATGTAGCATATCTGTCTCATTCATGGACAAAGGTGCAGTTTTTCTTTCGGATACATTTCTCTGGACTCTCTAGAACCAAGGGTTTGGAGTAAACAAGAGGGTTTTTTCCTTGGGTAAAAATATTCAATCTCATAAAATGAGAAATGGAGTCAGGAACCAAAAGAAATATAAAAGTCTATTTATTTCTTAATATAAATAAAAGCAGGCACAACGCGTTTCAACCACCAAAATGTGATCTTCCTCAGGTGCTAGTCAACATAAAAGTGAACACAAAGACACTTTATAAAGGATACATTATTAAGGTATAATTAGTTACACATGTGTAAAACAGTTTCCACCCCTTTCCTTATTTGGTCATAACCGGATGTGCACTGCCACCTGCAATATGGCCACACTTCCGGTTTCCGGACATAATTAGGGTACCATCTTGGTATCCCATAAAAAGTATACATATAAAACCTTCCACATAACAGAAAGAATACATAAAACATATTCCATACATGCTTTCCCTACTTAGCACAGGCATCAAAGGCAAGAAAATAGCCTATTGCCGTCTGTGCTGTTCAGGAAATAAACATGAAACCGCTGCATACAGTTCGTCGCGTCACTTCCGGTCACATGATCTTCGGTCCGTCTCGTCCCTTCCGGTTTCGCTGGATATTTGAAGAAATGTCCCAAACTTCCTCCCTTGTTTTTAGTTGTCCATAAATGTCTCAAACTTCCTCCCTTACTTGTAGTTGTCCATATATCATAGATTCTCATGGTCCAACAGAAGCAAAAGGTGCCATTTAGAAACATGGCACACCAAAAGTCCCATATTATATGCAGCAAGAGATAAAAAAGAGAAAAAGAAAAACTTAATAATATAATTATATAAAAATAGTACAAGTATCAAATAAGTGCAAAAAAGTGTATAATAAAAAGACAAGTACCCCTAATCACATTCAATAGAGAATACCTCACCAAGAGAAAATCCCAAAGAAGATACAGATTATTTAGTAATAGAGAAAATCAATTAAAAATATATCTTATAAAAACTTAAAATACTAAATATACAAGATTATCATTAATATATAAAAAAAAGATATTGTATAAAATTCTTATAAAAATACCCATATATGCAAAAAATCTTTTTATCATTTATAGAATGTTATTAATCTCGAAATCAATATTGAGACCTTTCGGAGTTAACGTGCACAAATCAAAGATCCATTTAGATTCTTTCATGCTAAGGGTTTTAGTTGTATCCTCACCTCTCCAATTTCTTCTTATTTTCTCAATTCCACAAAAACTCAGATATTTAGGATCTAAGTTATGATAGTCGTGGAAATGTTTAGACACACTGTGGTTAGGGAAACTTCTCTTTATATTTCTTAAATGTTCACTAATTCTAATTTTTAATTGTCGAGAAGTCTTACCCACGTATTGAAAACCACAAGTGCATTCTAGAAGATAAATAACATTGGAGGAATGACATGAGATAAAACATTTAATAGAATATTTTTTTCTTTGTATTTGTGGAAGAAAAATTATCTATTTTTTTTGTTGGATCTATTTGTGCTACAACATGCATTGCACGCTCCACAATAATAAAAGCCCTTCTGTTCTTGTGTCCAGTTAGTTAAAAAGTTATTGGGGAGTTCATTCTTTAAAAAAACTAGTAGTTAGAATCTGTTTAAGATTCTGGGCTCCCCTAAAAATAAAATTGGGTTTAATACCTATAAATTGGTGTATATCTTCTTCTTGTTGCAAGATATGCCAGTTTTTTTTTGTTTTTTTTGTAAAATAGTTTATTGGGCTTTTTATAGATAATACAGGTGAGATAGCACACATGAGATACACCAGAGATACATCGGAGACAGGGTAGCATTACTACTGTTAAACAATCAATCCATCAGGCAGATTTACAGAATTGGTGGTACAATTGCGTTACCATTTGCAGTACAGTTTGATACCCTTGATACAGTTTGTGATACAGACTCTTCCATGTACACATGCTAATGTTGACATCTTATCAGTTTGCCACAGTTGATTATTTTCAGCATTAACGGTTTGGTGATATCATAATCTTGTCATTATAGTGTGTGTTGTATGCTTTTGCTCAGCCTCGTGCCTCAGCAGTTTGGTTTGGGGGTTGGTGCCCCGTATCGTTTTGCCTTACAGACTCGTGTTTGGAGTCTTCATGTAGCTATCCTATCTCCCCAATAGTTGAGATGCTATATGTGGAAGATGTTAGAAAAGGGGGGGTGGGGGGGTGGAAGAGAACTGGGAAGGGGAAGTGAGGGGGGGGAAGGGGAGGTTTGGAGGTCAGTCTTTTCCGTCCCATTATTGCATTTCTGCATGAAGGCTAGTCGTCAGTGTTGGTTGTAGTTTGTTTAGTGAAGACAGATTTTGTATACCAGTCGTCCCATAGTTGCCATGCTGTCACCCAGTATTGTTGTGGGGATCTTAATTTTCTGGCTTCTGTTTCGTATCTTTTGGTTGTGTGTATTGCACTTGTGCATTGCGATAGGTCTGGAGGCTGCGTGTTTAGCCACCGTTTGTTAATGGCCGTTAAAGCGGCAACAATCACATGATACGCTAGGTATTGCTCCGTTTTGTTGTAAGTGAGTGGTATTGTTTGTAGTAGGTATGTTTCAGGAGTATGTGGAAGTGCCTTCCCTATTATCGCTGTGATCATGTTCGCAATTTCCCTCCAAAATTTTTGGATTAGGGGCCAAGTCCACCAAATGTGGAGCATTGTCCCTGTTTATTTGAAGCATCTCCAGCACACCCCTGGCTTATTTTGGTCCATTTTATGAAGTCTGGAGGGCACCATGTACCAGCGATAAAGTACTTTCCTACAAGTTTCAATGTGGGCTGTATTGAGTGTGAGGTGTTTGTGCGCTCGTAGTACTCTTGGCCATATCTCATTGAGTATGATAGATTTCATTTCTACTTCCCATGCTGTCATAAACTTCAATTTCCCCACTCCGACCCCTTTCGTGAGTATATTGTATAGGAATGATAAACTCTTTTGGGGTGGTTTGGGTGCTAGACACGCTCTCTCTAGTTCTGCTATAATAGTGTTATGTGAGTGTTTATTGTTTTGCCTAGCCCGTTTTGCCACCCATGAGCTCATCTGTATATATGAGAAATAGGATTGTGGGAGGAGGTGGAATTTCTGTTTCAAGGACTCAAAAGTCTCAATAGATTCCCCCTTCATCACGCTAGATAGGGAGGTGGCTCCCCGTGTGTGCCATAAGCCCCAGTTAAAGCCAGGAATTAGAAGTGCCAAAGCCTGGATTCGCAGTGCTGGGGATATGTATGGTGCAGGGCAATGTTTTTTTATTAGTTTGTCCCAAACTTGGAGGGAAGCCTCTGTTGTCGGGCATATGTCTTCAAATTTCGGTCTTTGGTACTTTGGTAGCCAAGCTAAAGCAGCGAGTGGAAAGCCGCCTGTTTGGATAGTTTCTATATGACTCCATGGGGGTGGCATTACGTGGTGGAAGGATGCAATAATTGGGCTTATCATAGCCGCATCATGATATTTTGCTATTTCAGGAGATCCCATGCCACCTTCTTTAAAGGGTCTATACAGAATTTCTGCCGCTACCCTGGGCTTTTTTCCCTCCCAAAGGAATTTATTGAACACACTTTGGACCTCTCTAAGATAGTGTTGCGGAATTTTGATATTGAGGGTTCTGAAGAGATATTGCATTTTAGGTAATACCATCATTTTTACTGCAGCTATTCTGCCTGTCCAGGAAATGTATTTGCCTTTCCAATTATGTATTTGTTGTTGGATTTCTTTGAGCAGTTTTACATAGTTAGCTTTGTAAAGCCTGTGTGGTTTGCATGTGAGGTGTACGCCCAGGAATGTGAGATGATCGTATCTCCAGTCATATGAGTAATCCTTCCGTAACAAGTCTTGTTGTGTATTGGTTAGATGAAAGCTCATAGCCTGTGTCTTTGTTACATTTAGTTTATAGTATGTACTGTCGCTAAATCGTTTGAGTATGTTTTGTAGTGTAGGTAGGGAGATTTCTGGTTTTGATAATGTTAGCATCACATCGTCCGCGAACATGGTGATTTTATGTGGATGTCCTCCTATCTCTATGCCATATATATTTTGGCTTTCCCTAATCTTCTGTACCAATGGTTCCAAAGCTAGGATATATAACAGTGGGGAGAGTGGGCAGCCCTGTCTGGAACCATTAGTTATGTTGATCAATTTAGAAACAAATCCACTGTTTGCTATTCTTGCCGTTGGATTTTTGTACAAGCTCGAGACTAAGGAGATGAAACGGTTGGGGAATCCAAATTTCTGTAATACTATTTTGAGGTATCCCCAGTGCAGCCTATCAAACGCTTTTTCAGCGTCTAGTGACAGTGCTACACTGGGGCACCCCTGTGTGTGAATTTTGTGAAGGATATTTAGTACTTTCCTAGTTCCGTCTGAGCCTTGTCGTCCCCGCACGAAGCCAACCTGGTCATTACAGATAAGCGTTGGTATGATGTTCCCCAGTCTATTAGCATATATTTTCGCCAGAATTTTCAGGTCAGTGTTTAATAATGAGATGGGGCGTAAATTTTGGCATTTGTTGGGCGGTTTGCCCGGTTTTGGTAGTGTTGTTATATGTGCTGATAGCATCTCTTTTGGGATATCACCTGTGTTAACAATATGATTATATAGTTGTTCCAGCCTGGGTGTTAATATATGTGAGAAAGTCTTATAGTATAGATTAGTATAGCCATCTGGCCCTGGTGACTTTCCCTTTGGTAGGTTTTTTATTGTTTTCGCTATTTCTTCTTGTGTGATTTTCCCTTCTAAGATTTGTTGGTCCGTGTGAGATAGAGTAGGAAGGCTAATTCCCTCCAGGAAGCCATCAATGTCAGCTGGTTGTGGTTGGTGGGTAAATGTATCATTTTGGATGTTGTATAAAGAGTCGTAATAATCCGCCATCAGATCATTGATGTCTCGGGGATTATAAATTTTGTTCCCCTGCTTGTTTAGGAGGTATGGTATTTTTGCGTTTTTCCTTTTGTGTCGCAATTGTGATGCTAGGATTTTCACCGCTTTATTCCCTTGGGTGTTTGTGTTTAGTTTTAACTTGTGGGTTATGTTTGCCGTTGTTTGTAATTGTATGTCATTAAGTTTTTCTTTTAATGAATCTATTGTAGATTGTGTTGTAGGTGATGGATGCTGGATTTGTTTATTTGTCTCGTCCCTGAGGGATCTGAGAAGGCCAGTATATTCCTGTTTTTCTCGCTTGTTGAGATAGGCCTGTTGACTTATTATTATACCCCTTATGACTGCTTTGTGTGCTTCCCACAAGATAGCTGGCGATATCGTAGGTGTATCGTTATCACTGAAGTATGACGTTATGTCCGTTGTCAACTTATCTTGGAATTGTTTGTTATATAGGAGTGTGTCATTGAGGCGCCATGGCGGTTTCCCTCTGGAGCTGAAGATGTCTCTTAACGTCATCTGTACTGTAGCATGGTCTGACCATACAATGTTCCCTATGTCGCCCCGAGACACTCTGGGCAGGAGGTCCCCCGAGACGAATATGTAGTCAATTCTAGTATAAGTGCCATGCACTCGAGAGTAGAAGGTAAATTCTCTGTCATTGGGATGTAGTGTTCTCCATGTATCATAGAGGTTGTATTCTGCTAGTAATTTTGTTAATTCTTTGGCAAGTTTTCGTAAGGTTTTGGTTCTTGGGTAGTCAGTCGGGGCTGTCTTGTCTGTAATATATGATTTAGGTCTCCACAAAGTATATTGTGAGAGTGTCTTTCAGTTGGGATTTTTGCTAGTACTTTGTGTAAAAAGTTCAGTTGATTCTGATTAGGGCCGTATATGCCTGCTATGGTGTAAATTGCATCGTTGATTGTGCATTGGATAATCAGGTATCTGCCCTGCGTATCTTTCTTGAGCTGTAGGAGGTCAAAGGATAACGACTTGTGTATTAGAATGGTGACACCCCTCGCTTTGGAAGAGTAAGTGGAGTGATATTGTGTGGGATAGTCTTTTGTTGCAAGGGCTGGTACCCTATTATGCTTGAAATGTGTCTCCTGAATGCATATGTCTGCTCTAGTGTGTTGCGCTTCTGCAGTCAGGAGTCGCCTCTTGTGTGGTGTGTTAAGTGCGTTAATAGTTATTATTTTCATATCCTATAGGCTACTCCTGGGGTTTGCTGGATAGTACGCCTTTTGTTCATTGTGGAACCCGTATGGACCAGGTGGATTGAGTGACCTAAGCGGCGCTCTTGTTGATAGTGGTGTAGCGCTATTGTAGTGGTATGGTGTTGTTTTTCTTTATCTGACCTTATTTGGTGATAGTTAGGGAAAGAGTAACTAGGGTGTGTTAGGTAAGGGGGAACTATATACAGGGTGTCTCTTTCAGAGACGGTGCGTGGGGGTCCCACAGCACGAGGGTTGTAGGAGATTATTTTCTCCATTACGTGGCGGTTGGGCTAGGAATGCGTAAAAAATAAGAAATAAGAGAAGAAAGCTGTCTTCTTTAAAGTCATCCGGGACTCATTGGCCAGGTTAGGTTTTTTTTTTTTTTTTTACTTTAATTACGTGAAACTTGTTTTGGGTGTCAGGGGCTGCGCGTCCCCCTCCCCTTTATATAGTACCATGTCCGTCATTATCCTCCTCCCACCTGGAATTACATATCTGTGTTATCTGTATTAGGCTCTACCTGGGCCTCCCGTTTCATATCATACCCGAAGGAAGGGGCATATATAGTGTATTCCCATGTCTCCCTCCTCCTCTGCGCACCTCTTGCAGGTAGTTGGGTCCACAGTCAACTGTTAAGGTCTCATATGTTTCGCTAGTCGGAACTGTCATCATCACTGGGTTAAGGGAGAGGCCCCGAGCGGCATCCAGCTGGTCCACCTCGTCCGCGCCCGCACCTCACCGAGGCCCCCGCAGGCCACCACTGCTCAGCGTACGCTTCGTTGCAGGGAGCAGCTGGGCCCCGGTCCGGCGCCCCGCGGTTCGACCAGCCAGCCCCTGGATTATGATGAAGCCATGTAATGTGCACGTTCGCACAGAGGGGGTCGCCCACATCCCGGACCCACGTCTACCCGTCCAGCTCCCCCCGGCCAGTGATACTGTGTAACCCGTGGGACTCACACCGTATGTTAGGGGACTAGGGCCTCCCAGCCCTCATGGAGTACTCTGCCCGCCAAATACCTCCCCTCCGTCCGGCGGTCCCCAACTGTGAGATAGACCCCATACCATGGCAGTATTAGGAGACACATATTGTACATTCCCGCTCCCATTCCTCCCCCCTCCCCTTCATACCGCATGTAGTTAATTGAGTTAGAGTCCGACTGCTAAAGTCCACTGTGGTTCATCGCGGAGATTGGTACCCCAAAAAGGGGGAAATCCGTGGCGGTATCTGATCGGGAGGTCTTCCCCCCCCCCCCCTCGGGTATCTCCGCCTCACTCCAGCCTCGCTCGCACCAAGCCCGGGCCCCCGCCAACCAACACTGCTCTGCGTTCGCTTCGTTACAGGGGGTAGCTAGGCCTGGACCCGGTGCCGCGCAACCGCGGCCGAGGGAAGTTCGAGGTGCATAAGAGACACACATCTGTCATGCTCCGGAGAGGAGGACCGCGCATGTCCCGACCCATGTTTAACTGTCCCGGTTACCTTTGAGCCAGTAGGTCAACTGACTTAGTGTTTCTTTTGGGTTTGTTGTTTCCATTCAGTGGCGAGCCTTCCAGGAGGTGAGGGCGTCGGAGCCTGCTTGTCATCAGAGAGTCCCCAGGCTTTTAATTTTTTAAGGCCTTCCCCTGGAGAGTGAAGTATGGTGGTTTCTCCGTCTCTGGTAATGATGAGCTTGGTGGGGAAGCCCCATCTGTAGCGTACTTCGTGGTTTCTCAGCACACTTGTGACCTGCTTAAACTCTTTCCGTTTTTGGAGAGTTGCAGATGAGAGATCGGCATAGATCTTGACCGTGGGGTAATCCTCTGGGGGACTAGTTCGTATTCTGCTGCTCCTCAGTACATGCTCCTTGATATGGTGGTAGTGTGCACGTAGAAGTATATCCCTCGGCACCGCTTGCGCAATATGGTGCGGTTTTGGGACATGGTGTACTCGGTCCACCAGGAGCATGTCTGTGGGGACCTCTGGGACAAAAGCATGCAATAGGCCGCGGACATATGCAGGTAGGTCTTTGTTTGCCACTTCTTCCGGGACCCCCCTAAGTCTCAGGTTATTGCGGCGGGACCGGTCTTCTAAGTCCGCCATCTTCTCCTCCATCTTGTGAACCTTGGTAGCCAGATGTTCCACATGGGTAGCTAGGTCGTTATGGGCTGTGGCAAATTCATCACACTTGTCTTCCACATGCGATGTTCTTTTACCCAGTTCTTGTAAGTCCTTTCTCAAGGAGTCTGCCGTGTGTTGCCACGTGGAGATCAATTTACTTGAGAGCTTGTCTAGGGCCTCTGCTAGATCTGATTTAGTGATCTGTGATGTTTCTGTGGGGGTGCCCGGGCCGCAGCCCAGTATGCCGTCGTCCGAATCCAAATCACTGGAGGCTTTTGCGGCCTGCATGATCACAGCAGAGGAGACTTGCTTAGAGACGAAAAAATTACTTTTGTCTGGCTTTGCCGCTTTCTTGGTGCTTTTGCGTTGCGACATATTGCTTTTCTGGTGTTGGATGCAGCTTTCTTGCTGGTTGATTACATTAGATTAAGAGCCCAAATACCAGAGCAAGAATCTAAGCGTCCATCTTGCTCCGTTGGTAGCCATGCCCCCCCATGCCAGTTTTTTTTTTTAATGATTTTCTTTACTGCCCCAATATTACTAGAGGAATTAAAAATTAAAGGGATCTGTTCTTTCTGGCAATCATGATTCTCTTTATTTTTATATTGTAAAAGAAGAGACCTATCCATTTTAACCACTTGATTTATATTATCTTGTAGGGCCTCTTCTTCATATCCCTTTTGGACTAGTTGGTTTTTAAGAACAGTAGCTTGAACAAAATAGTCTTTTTGATTGGTACTGTTTCTACGCATCCTTAAAAATTGACCCTTGGGTATATTGTCAAACCAAGGTCGATGGTGACAACTCTCCAATTCAATAAAACTATTTACATCTACTTGCTTAAAAAAAAGTTTTAGTCATTAAAACACTTTCTTTAATAAAAATAGTAAGATCTAAAAAATCCACACTCTCTCTACTAACATTTTTAGTCAGAGAGATGCCCCAGTTATTAGAATTAAGAAATTCAAAAAAAGTTAAGATTCTTGAGATCCCTTCCAAATAATAAAAATGTCGTCAATGTATCTTTTATAGAGGACCAAGTTTGCGCCATAGTCATGCCCCTTAAAAACAAAAGATTCCTCCCAAAAGGACATAAAAAGATTAGCATAGCTTGGCGCAAACTTGGTCCCCATGGCAGTACCTCTAATTTGTAGAAAAAATTCCTCCTCAAACCAGAAATAGTTTTTCTGTAGGATCATTTGTATTCCTTTTAAAATAAAAGTTTTTTGTTTTTCACAATACCTATTGGAGGTTGTCAAAAAAAAAAAGTCAACTGCCTCACATCCTTTTTCATGTTGGATAATAGTATACAGACTAGATACATCACACGTGGCTAACAGATAATCATCTTGCCATTCAAAAGAACTTAGAATATTCAATAGACTCATAGAGTCTTGTAAAAAAAGAGGAAGTGTTTTTTTACCAAAGGTTGTAAGTGGAAATCTATGTATTGTGATAAAAAAGAAAGTGCAGAGTCGATTCCGGACACAATTGGACAGCCAGGAGGGTTTTCTAGATCTTTATGAATTTTTGGCAAGATGTTTATCACTGGGATTTTGGGATGTTCCGGATATAGAAAAGAATACTCTTTTTTGCTTAGAATATTGTCCTCTATACCTTTTATCAAGGAATTTTCCCAGTTTTTCCTTAATTTCTATAGTTGGATCTTTGTTAAGTTTAAGATACGTGGTGTTATCTGCCAATTGTCTCTTTATTTCTTGAATGTAAATATCTCTTTTTAAAATAACCCCCTCACCCCCCTTTATCTGCAGGTTTTATAAAAATGGATAAATCTTTTCTCAGAAGGTCCATAGCTTTCCTTTCTTGAAAGGTTAAGTTTTGTCAAAATTGGGACAATGGCTTAATTTTATGGATATCTCTGAGACAAGATTTCTCAAAAACCTTGATCTTATAACTTTTAAGAAAAGTGGGACAAAATTTAGATTTGGGCTTTAAATTAGAGTGTATAATATCTGTAGTCTCAACAGTATTAACATTATCACAATTATCTTTCTGAAAAAAAATTTTTAAACAGGGTTTCCTGGTATATCGATTAATGTCTAAAAAAAGTTTCAAATTTATTTACTGGGCAACTTGGCACAAATTTAAAACTTTTGGATAAAATATTATTTTCAATAGGTGTAAATTCTCTATTAGGTAAATTAAAAATCTTTATTTCATTTCTCTTTGTTTCCTTTTTCCTAATACAAATCACTCTTCGTTTTCCTCTTCTGACCCTCTTGGTCTTTTTCTTGTGGTTTCTTTTATAAGTGTATTTCTCCCCATTTTTTGACCTAAAAAAATATCCTCGTTGGATTCTACTTCTAAGATTTCGTAGCGTTTTTTAAGGGGTACTTGAGGGGGATCTCTTATAGACTGATTTCTCCTTTTATTAGTGGAGTAAGTCTCATCTCGATTTCTTTGGAATCTTGTCCTAGAGTTTTTTCCTTTTTCCGGGGAGATATATCTATCTCTATATTGTGATAGATAATTACCTCGGTTGGATCTTTGGTAACTATGATTCCTATCGTATTGATTAAAATGGGAGTTTCTCCTTTGTGGTTGTTGGGCATAGGAGTTTCTCCTTTGTGGGGAGTAATTCCTCCTCACAGGTATTCTATTGTTAAGATCTCTTCTAACCTGATTATATTGAACATCTCTCCCTTGTATTTGGTAATTATTTCTTACATGTCTATAGTCTTTATGATCTCTCTGGTGCCTGTTAAAAAAAAAAATTCCCGTGAAAATACTTTGTTTCTAGACACTGATGCCCTTTTTCGATTATTCTGTCTCTGTTGGGAAAAGATATTCTCCTTTTTATTAGATATATTTCTAATCCTATTGTTGGCATAATCATTCAGATCTCTATTGAACTTCTTTTTATTAGAGATCAAAGAACTTTCAATTTTGTCGATTTTATGACTGATCTTTTCTGAAAGACTTTCAAAGTCTTCTGTCCCAACAAAAGGTTTTAATTTGGTTTTAATTGTCTTAATTAATTCAGCTATCTCTATTAGATTATCTTTTCTTTCTTTAATGATGATATTCATCATAGTAAAGCTCTCTAAAGCTGATGTCCATATTCTTATAAAAGTTTCCTTTTCTCTATTGAAAGTGGGATATTTAGTGAATCTAAGACCCCTTGGAGTAATTTCTCTCTCAATATTTCTCCAAGGTAAAAATCTCCCATTTTATCTTAACTTCTCTTATCAATAATTTTTCCAGCTGAAGCATACTTTCATCTAAATTATCACTTAAGATAGTACTGGATTCAATATCATTATCTCCTTTCCCAAATTTATCTTGGGCAAGTTTTTCCCAATTTTGTCTAGACAAAAAAAGTGACATATTCCTAAGCAGCCCAAACTATATAGTGACACAAAGAGAACGAGTGGTATAAATATTATAGGTGGCGCTAAAGGAAAAAGAGGTGCTACTATATTACCAAAGTATATTGTCACCACATATACTTAAAAGACAAGGCACAGTAAAAAGATAAAAGGTAAAAGTGCACACATAAACACCAGGACAAATTGTTACCTGTAATATATACAGTCGTGGTAACCAAAAGTGAATAATCCTGGTATATACTTGACCAGATTGTATATACTGATACGTATTTGCCTATAAATATATAACAAGGCAAAAAACCATAGTGTATTCTGTATAGGAAATAATAGCAGTGAATGTAGAAGAGCTGAAACCACAATTTTTCAAGCCGATTAAAAGTTGGCTCAGAACTTATGTAGCATATCTGTCTCATTCATGGACAAAGGTGCAGTTTTTCTTTCGGATAAATTTCTCTGGACTCTCTAGAACCAAGGGTTTGGAGAAAACAAGAGGTTTTTTCCTTGGGTAAAAATATTCAATCTCATAAAATGAGAAATGGAGTCAGGAACCAAAAGAAATATAAAAGTCTATTTATTTCTTAATATAAATAAAATAAAAGCAGTCACAACGCGTTTCAACCACCAAAATGTGGTCTTCCTCAGGTGCTAGTCAACATAAAAGTGAACACAAAGACACTTTATAAAGGATACAATATTAAGGTATAATTAGTTACACATGTGTAAAACAGTTTCCACCCCTTTCCTTATTTGGTCATAACCGGATGACCAATAACTTTTTAACTAACTGGACACAAGAATAGAAGGGCTTTTATTATTGTGGAGCGTGCAATGCATGTTGTAGCACAAATAGATCCAACAAAAAAAATAGATAATTTTTCTTCCACAAATACAAAGAAAAAAATATTCTATTAAATGTTTTATCTCATGTCATTCCTCCAATGTTATTTATCTTCTAGAATGCACTTGTGGTTTTCAATACGTGGGTAAGACTTCTCGACAATTAAAAATTAGAATTAGTGAACATTTAAGAAATATAAAGAGAAGTTTCCCAAACCACAGAGTGTCTAAACATTTCCACGACTATCATAACTCAGATCCTAAATATCTGAGTTTTTGTGGAATTTAGAAAATAAGAAGAAATTGGAGAGGTGGGGATACAGCTAAAACCCTTAGCATGAAAGAATCTAAATGGATCTTTGATTTGTGCACTTTAACTCCGAAAGGTCTCAATATTGATTTCGAGATTAATAACATTCTATAAATAATAAAAAGATTTTTTGCATATATGGGTATTTTTATAAGAATTTTATACAATATCTTTTTTTTATATATTAATGATAATCTTGTATATTTAGTATTTTAAGTTTTTATAAGATATATTTTAATTGATTTTCTCTATTACTAAATATGGTTTGGTCTCTAATCTGTATCTTCTTTGGGATTTTCTCTTGATGAGGTATTCTGTGATTAGGGGTACTTGTCTTTTTATTATACACTTTTTTGCACTTATTTGATACTTGTACTATTTTTATATAATTATATTATTACGTTTTTCTTTTTCTCTTTTTTTATCTCTTGCTGCATATAATATGGGACTTTTGGTGTGCCATGTTTCTAAATGGCACCCTTTGCTTCTGTTGGACCATGAGAATCTATGATATATGGACAACTACAAGTAAGGGAGGAAGTTTGAGACATTTATGGACAACTACAAATAAGGGAGGAAGTTTGGGACATTTCTTCAAAGATCCAGCGAAACCGAAAGGGACACGACGGACCGAAGATCATGTGACCGGAAGTGACGCGACGAACTGTATGCAGCGGTTTCATGTTTATTTCCCGAACAGCACAGATGGCAATAGGCTATTTTCTTGCCTTTGATGCCTGTTCTAAGTAGGGAAAGCATGTATGGAATATGTTTTATGCATTTTTTCTTTCTGTTATGTGGAAGGTTTTACATGTATACTTTTTATGGGATACCAAGATGGTACCCTAATTATGTCCGGAAACCGGAAGTGCAGCCAT